CACTTGCTCAAGTTTCCCTTGGCTTAGCCCAAGGACCCACAAGAGACTGGCTGGGCCTGGCTTAGTACGTGTGACTGCTTGGGATCAAGGTCTATAAGGACAGTCCTGGGCTCAGCCCTTCATGGAAGGAGTATTCAATCTGCAACCTGTGTAGGATAACTCCGGGAAGCACCTGGAGACAGGGGACCCCATGAGGAAACTATCACAGGAATCCCAGCCAGAGCACCCAAAGCAACAGTTGAGGATGTAAAAAGGGGTAACCAGACCAACAGGGAACAGAACAGCTGGAGCCCTCAGACTTTCTCTTAGCATGACCAGCTGCTAGCACAGAAACCTTGAGTACTTGGGGGAGAAATCAGGGCCCTGCAGGCCTGAGTGTCTCTGGCACCTGACCTGGGAGCAGGAAGAAAGTTATAGGCCTAAAGAAAAACAGGGAGCCCTATTGGATATGGGGGATGGCAGGAAACAGGATAAACCAGGAAGGAAGTTGGTAGAAGTCCGTGCCTAGGTCTGCCAGGGTCCACTACATCCTCAGGTGCCCCCACATGGGGTAGATCCTGTGTGTGCACATGGTGAGCCTTTACACCACACACACCACCCTGCCATACAGAGTTTTCCTGAACTCATACTATGTGTGCCCACCAGTTGTCCCCCGCTTACGTTTCCACCACCACCTTTGGGCCTAATGCCTAGAGGTTTGCTGGCCTCGGTTTTGTGACTCACACAGAACCTGCTCTTGGGTGCAGACTTCGCTCATCACACTGAGCCACATCATCGTGGCAAGTCATTCCTTCCCGTGGTAGCAGCCTGTTCGACTGCGGGGATACACCAATGTCTTTAGCCACGCCATTGTCAATGGACTGGAACCCTGCTTCCAGTTTAGGACTGTTTTGAACAGGGCTGTTAGGAAAATTTTTGTGTCTGCCTTTTAGCTGGCATAAACACTCACTTCTGTTCACATTTTCTTTGGAGCAGAACTGCTGGGTCAGAAATAAGTGTTGATTTAGTCTTCAGAAATACCACTAGTTTTTCAGAGCAATTGTAAAACCTGCAAGGATTCTTGCTGATGTAGCAGCTGCAGAGGCTGAGATGATATCGGCAAGGCAAGACTGAAACCGTGATCCAAGAGGGTCTGAGCACCAGAGGGGTTCTCCTGAGAGAGACTTGGGGCCATCCCACAAGCATATAAGGAAGAACCAGGTGACCCCACCTGTGGGAAGGAGGAGCAGGTGCTGAGGCAGAGAGGAGGGGAGGTGCCAGCAGGAACATGGTCCACCAGGCCAGCACCTGGGCATGGTGAGAAACATTGTTATCCAGGGGGAAGCTGACTTAAGGAATTTGTCCTGGAACAAGTCTCAGCACATACCAGTGAATAAATAGAAAGTGAAAAAAAAAATAAGAAGTGTTTAAGCTTGAATCTTAACTTTTTTTGTTGTTTTATTTTCATTGAGGTAATACAACACATTCACTTCTTCAGATGCATGTCACACACTTCTTCAGATGCATTCACTTCTTCAGATCATGCCCCCCACTAAAGTCCCAATAACTCTCCACCATAGTCCACGGCACCCTCCTCCACCCTGTGCCACCTAATCCCTCCCCCCTCTGGTAGCCTCAGTTCTGCTCTAAAGATCATTTCTTAGCTCCAATGATATAGAATAAGTTCACTATTGTAGTAACTGAATCTGGAAAAATATCCATCACTTCTTAATAAATGAACTTTAGAAAATGATCTCCCAAAAAGAAAAGAAAGAGATTATAGAGAATTAGCCTGTAACCTGTCAACTTGACTCTCTCAGACCTTCTTCCTACAGGTGAACAGGTGCACCTGACCCCTCAGCCTGAGACATCAGAACAGGCCTTTATCTTGAAGAGGCAGAGCTGAGCTCACTTTCTTATCCTTCCATTTTGTTGTTAAAATTGAAGATAAGAGAGTCCTCACCACAGCTGACCTGACACCTCCACCTGACTCCCCACCTCCAGTCTGAATCTACCTGTTGGTTGTATAGGGGAGTAAAATAAAAGCTTTTCTCTACTCATCTTAAGTACCCAATCTGAGGCCCTATAAAGTAGACTGGCCAAAGACAGATTAACAAGAGAAAGCAAACATGAGTTTGTCAGCATGTGCATCACACATGTATGCAGGAGTACCCAGATATAAGTGACTCGAAGGGATGGTTAGACATGGACTTTTAGATTATTTTAGGCCAAAACAGAGGTCTGGGGCTTCTAGAGAGGGGAAGCAAGTTATGGAAGGTGACCAGAAGTATGGTAAACCAAGGGAGTTTAGTTAGGTTTTACAGGCAGACTTAAGTTGGAAGAAGGAATGGAACTATCCATTATAAACATAAATTTCCTTTATAAAAGGAAAATGTGTGTCCTGTTTTTAGAGTTTTCCTGCTCCTGCTGTTTGTCAATAGCCTTTAGTTCAAAATAATCCATATGCCAAAGTATATGCAATGAAACAAGGACAGTTTGTCCTATAAATGGTGCTGGGAAAACTAGACCACCACAAGCAAAAGAATGAAACTAGACCACTACCTCACACCTTGCACAAAAACCTACTCAAAATGGATAAAAGAATTGAACATAAGACCTGAAACCATAAAATATATAGAAGAAAATAGAGGTATAGCACTACATGGCATACATCTCAGTAACATCTTTAAAGTCTCATCCCCCAAAGTAAAGAAAGTAAAGGAAAAGATACACAGCTGGGAATACATCAAACTAAAAAGCTTCTGTACAGCAAAAGAGACATTAATAAAAATAAAGAGACACCCTACTGATTGGGGAAAAAGTTTTGCACTCCATACACTGATAAGGGATTGATCACAAAGATACACAAAGAACTCACACGACTCAACCAAAGCAAAGTAAACAATCCAGTATAAAATGGGCAGAAGAGTTTAAAACACACTTTTCCAAAGAAGAAATGCAAATGGCCAACAGGCATATGAAAAAATGTTCAACATCACTCTTAATCAGGGAAATGCAAATCAAAACCACAATGAGATACCACCTTACACCAGTGAGAATGGCACATATTAAAATGATTAGCAACGACAAATGTTGGTGGGAATGTGGTGAAAAAGGAACTCTCCTGTACTGCTAGTGGGAATGCAAACTGGTCCAGCCACTGTGGAAAACTGTGTGGAGTTTCCTCAGTCTACTAAAAATGGAGCTTCCAGATCACCCAGCAATTCCACTCCTAGGGGCCTACCCAAAGGACACAAAAACATTAATTCAAGATACCTGCACCACTATCTTTATTACACCACTATTTATAATAGGTAAGGTTTGGAAACAGCCCAAAAATACATGACTGGATCAAGAAGATGTGGTATATATATATACAATGGAATACTATTCAGCAATCAATAAAGGTAAACTAATGTCATTCGCAGCAACATGGATGAAACTAGAAGGGATTATGCTCAGTGAAATAAGAAGGAAAAAGAAAAATACAGGATGGTTTCACTTATAGGAGGAATATAGGGAAACCAAAATAAGGAATCAGGGGGGAAAATAACAATTTAAAAAAACAAAAATAAACAAGCAATTATAAATCAGAGACATTCTGCAGGGGATAGGGAGAGAGAGGGATCAAAACTGGGGAGAGAAGAGCACAAGGGACTATGGTGATGGTGCTCGGGTGAATTGGTTGTGGGAATTCCATGGGGGCTACACTTGAGAAAAGAAAGCAAACATTGTATAAAAATGAACAATGATGTAAAATATATAAATAAATTATTAAAAAAATAAACAAAATCAATTAATGGTTGCCAGAAGGAAAGGGATAGGGGATGGGTAAATTCTCCGGAATGGAGAAGTGGTCATCTCAGTCACTTTCTGCTAAATAATTCTTGGATAGTTAGAAATGCTTTGAAGAAAAGCAGGTTGAATGGCTATTGATTGAAGTTGCTATTTGACTTGACACCGAACTGAGTGAATGAATCTGGGAGGATAGCAAGTGCAAAGCCCCTGAGGTGGGTATCTGCTTGGACAGTTCACAGCAGAGAAAGTCCCACTGGTCCCATAGAGAGCAACTGAGGGTTATCAGGAAATGCCACCACCCAAATTGCCTCTTTGGCATATGGATTATCTTTTTTCAGGTTTTTTTTTCCTTTTTATTGAAATGACATTGAATTATATCATAAACTTCAGGCATAAATCACTGAGAATCATGTGTATATACTACATTAAGGTCACACCCTGACTCACCCCAACTAGGGAACATGTTCCTGATGGGATTGTGGGGCATCTTGAGAACAAAGGACAAGGAAGAGGTTGGGAGTGGGTGGGGACATCTGACTGAACCTCACAGGAAGCTCAGAGCACAGGCTCAGAGCAAAGCAGGCTGGGTGCAGGGGACGACCTCATGTCCTTGGAACCATAGCCTTAAGCAGGTGCGTGAGACTGTGTCCACACCCCCTGATCTCAAGCTCACATGTGAGGAGGAGTGGAGGAGGCTGTGGCAATGTCTCTGTCACAGTGACCCAACTTGGAGGGGACGAGGGGGTTGTCCTCCCTGACCCACTTTAAAGGGCAAAGGGTCTGAGGGCCCATGATTTAAAGAACAATGTTTCTCAGAAAGAAAGGGTGGTCCCTCAGAGAAGGGGTCCAGGTGACACTTGAGGGCAGAGCATGCCCAGGAGAGAGCTGTCTCATTGTGGCAATGAGAGCCACAGCTGGGATCCTCGAGTCCTCTTGTGCAGACTCGTCGAAAAAGGGGAGACCCCAGCTTTTGAAGGGCCGTGAGCAGATCTCATCAGCTTCTTTTATATAAAACCGGACGCCGCTGGCCAGGTCCTGGGATCACAGCCACCCCGGAGTCCCGCCCCGAAGGCCCCGCCCCTCCCGGAGCTCGGCCCCGCCCCTCCCGGAGCTCGGCCCCGCCCCTCCCGGAGCTCGGCCCCGCCCCTCCCGGAGCTCGGCCCCCTGTGTCCGGGAGGCTTGGCTCGGCCCTCCCGCCGCAGTGCGCAGGCGCGGCCCCTGCCCGCGGGCGTCTCCGCCGTCCCCGGCGCCAGAGCGGCCGTAGCATCCTCGGTGTCCGCGTCTCCTCGCACTCCGTCCTCTCCCTCCCCGGCCGGCGCGATGGCGAAGCCGCTCACGGACAGCGAGAAGCGGAAGCAGATTAGCGTGCGCGGGATCGCGGGGCTGGGCGACGTGGCCGAGGTGCGGAAGAGCTTCAACCGGCACCTGCACTTCACGCTGGTCAAGGACCGCAACGTGGCCACGCCCCGCGACTACTACTTCGCGCTGGCGCACACGGTGCGCGACCACCTGGTGGGCCGCTGGATCCGCACGCAGCAGCACTACTACGAGCGCGACCCCAAGGTGAGGCGGCCCGGGAGGCCGGGGGCCTGGCGCTCGCCCTGCACCACCCCGAAAAGGGGCGGCACTGGCGCCTGACCCTTCGGGTCCCGGGCCTCTGCGAGGTGACAGCGAAGCGATGCCCCTCTCTCCAGAGAGACGCGCGCGGGGCTGGTGCGCGCCGAAAGGATGTGGAGCAGAGGGAGCCGCCCCCGGCCCGCCCCTGCAGCCCCTGCAGCTCATTGGTGGTCCTTGCCCGGGCCTCCGGCCGGGGAGAATCGCCTCGGGTGGGGCCCCTGCCTTCCCCGCCGCCTCCCTGTCGCGTTTCCCCGGGGGCAGCCTGTTGCACGGTCCGAACCCGGTACTTCCCGTCCCGCCCCCTGGGCGCAGAGTGGATTCGGGCTGTCGCTCACGGTCCCTTGCAGTCTGGGTTGCGGGGTGGGGGGCTTGGCCTTGGCCTCTCTTCAGGACCGAGCCCGCAGGACCCTTCCCCCACGATCCAGGTCTTGCAGGGATCCCCTGTCCCCACATCATTGAGCCCTGGAATCCTAGCGGAATTTTCTGACCTGTAACTAGCTGTATGCTTCTGTGATAGCTGCAGAGTCAGTGCTTCCTCCTCCCTCCACTCCCGCGTCCCCCACCTTTTGTTTTTCTGCACCAGCAGTGTGGGAGAAAGGGGGGCTGGAATCAGGCCCAGGCAGTTTTATGTTTTGGAAGAGCTCAGTCTTCTGCAGGGAATTGTGGACCTTTTTTGGCCAGGCGGTGAACAGAAGAGAATCATTTAAGACGCTTGCGGAAGCAGGAGGGGTCAGAATGTCAGAGAAGGAGCCCACAAGAGATTCTTGGTTTTAACATTCTCACACCTTCCTTCCTTAAAAAATACGTTAAAAGTTCATGGGTGTTATTTAAGTAATTGTTACTTTTTATATTTTGCAAGAATGTGTGTTTATGGAAGAAAATACACAATAAACAAAAGCAAAGTAGCCATCTCATTTGCTCCAAATTGTAGATGTATGTCCTTTCAGTTCTTTTATTCTTAAATAGAGGTACACATTTTATAGTTTTTCTGTTTTACTCATCACAATTACTACTTTTTCAACAACTTTCTAGGTCAGTGTATGTGCTTCTCTGACATCATTGGTAGTTCTCAATTTGATAGTTAATCATAGGCTTGGCCATGATAGATCACAGCCCCTCTGCTACCAGACTTTTGCTTTTTGACCTTCTCTCTGTCTTTCTTTCTCTTAATCATGGAGAATTTTGTCCTTTCTACTATACTAATTTAGGGTGAAGACTGGCAAGGAAAGAATTCTTTTGCAGGCCTGCAGCCAGTTTGCAAACATTTGATTTGTATACCCCTGGGCACCTGGGCAAAAAATACTTTGATAGTATTTTGGAGTATTTTTATGGGCTTTAAAAATTGTTTAGTAGTTACGGCAGCCCTGTCTTGCTCCTGTATTTCAATAAATCTGCCTGTTCTTTTCTCAAAAAAAAAAAAAAAAAAAAAAAGAAAGAAAGTTAGTAATTGCTAAGAGTGGGTTTCTCTTTTTTTCTAAAGTAGAAATGGAAAGGACAAATTTGTTAGAATACCAACTGAGCCTCTTCACAGTTCTTCAGAAAGAAGTGGCACCAAATGGATAAAACAGGTTATTACAACAAGGGCTCAGTATGATTTTGCCAGGGAAACTGGCCAAAAGACAGTGGGCCCCTTAGAATTTCCTACTGATGGTAGAACTAACTGATTCAGTTTTTTGTTCCTGTAGCTGACAACAAGGGTATGACTTTCAAGGTCAAGGACATTTCCCTGGAGCAGGGCCAGGAGATACCTCAACACCTTAGAGCTCCCTTTAGAGTCCTCTTGTATAATTAGATCCTAAAGAGGCCAGTGATGGACTCAGAGGTTATGGAGATGACTTTTCATGAACAGAATTAATCCCCTTACAAAACAGGTTTGCCTAACCTCAGTAAGAGGTCTGAGTTTTGATTGTCTACTGTAGAGGCTACAGACAGATACCTTTCTCTGTTAAGGAAACCACCTGACCTGTAACCAGAGGGTTGTTTGTGTGCTAGTTTTAGATACAAAGGCCATTTAAAAATGGGAATTAGAATTGAAGTGCTTCAGCCTGGCTAATTCATTTTGAAAACAAGCCAGGCCTCCTCTTTGTCTACAAAAGTTGCATGTTTACTTATAATGGATCAGAAACAAACCCCACTTGGATCTGAGCCCCAGGAGAGATTGAATCCCAGTAAAATTCCTGCAGAGCTCCACCCCCAGCCTAGCAATGGCTCAAAACTGTGTATACTCCAGACTTGGGTAGCCTGATGATCTGTAGTTAATAAATTAGAGTGCACTTGTTTCTTATTTTTGTCTTTTAAACAATTACACAAGTCCTTATGATTATTGATGGAAAAACTAGAACATGTAGATAAGCCAGAAGAAAAAATTTAACTGTGGTCTCACCTCCCAGTAATACGGTAAACACTATCCACATTGGTGGCTTACATCCTTTTTTCCCTATACTGAGAGAAACATTTGTTTTTATTACAGTGTAGTACAGAGCTACCTGTGGTTTCATGACTTGGGTTGTAGCAGAAACAATTCTATTCTGCTCGGAGGAAGATTTTTTTAAAAAGATTTATTTATTTATACAAGAATCAGGGTACAGGCCAGATGTGCGGGAGGGTGAGAAGATTCACCAGAGACAGAGTGGGGAACAGAACAGGAAGACTGACTAAATATACTGCTAAGAGAAGCAGCGGACGAGTCAGGAGAGGTCTGCTGCACCATGTGGGTATCTCCCTGGCTGGGGATTGAATTCATGCTGCAGTGGCTGCGGATAGCTTCGTAGGTTGAGACTTAACCCCTTGCACCTCCAGGGAGGCCCAGAGGAAGATTTTTCAAGCAAACTGCCTCGCAAATCAGCAAGTCAAAAAAAAAAAAAAAATTGACTAAAATTAAGAGTGGTTAGTTCTGAAGGCAGTTGAAGGATCCCCTGAAGTGATAGCAAGGTTGGAATCTGGGATGAAATGTCTCTGGACTCCAAAGTCAGGAAGGGAAAAGAACTTGGATAATGAGGGATGGCTTGGAGGAGTCCAGGCTCCCGTGGGGCTTTACCATTCAGCCAAGGTGACTCTGGCTTGGATGGATTTCTTAGCCTTTCTTGGCCTCAGTTTTTTAATCTTTAAAATGAGGTGGTTGCATTAGGTAATCCATTTCTCAGAGCCCTCAGCATTCTTAAAGTTATGGCTTTGTGTTTCCTATAAAATGTTTCCATTTTAAATTGACATCCACCTCATCCAAAAAGAATTTTAGATATGACACAAAAGACTCAAATTAATAGAAGACTCAGAGAAAGCTGGGGAGAGACAGTAAGAGTAGAAAAGCAGGTGAATTCAGCTACAAGGTCAGGACATAGAATGCAGATGTAAATTGTGGTCAACCAAAGCAAATGGCAGACCATGCCAGATTATGGGAGTCATGGAATATCTTTTGTAGCTTCTAGAATGGGCAGGTGCTAGATTTCTTCCAGGGGTCTTAAAATAGATACTGTGCAGTGGGGACACTGAACTACCGCACCCTGCAGTGGATGGAGTAATCAGTTTGCTGTGGCTCCTGCTCATATGCTCATGGTATAAACCACAATGGTAGATTAAGGAAAAGCAGCTCTACCATGGGGCCCAATTGCTGTTAAGTACTTCTAGTAAGGTAATCATAATGAATGCAGTTAATCTTACAGAATTTAGGAACTTGCTCTTGCACAGTATTCGAAGCCTTGGCTGCCCACAACTCCTGCTTCTGATGTTTTTGTTTGTTTGTTTGTTTTAAAGATTTATTTATATACACGAACTGGGGTACAGGCCAGAGGCACAGGAGAGTGAGAGAATTCACCAGAGACAGAGCAGGGAGCAGAACAGGCAAACAGACCAAAGGCACTGCTGAGGGGAGCAGCGGGCCAGGCAGGAGAGGTCTGCCGCGCCATGTGTGTTCCTCCCTGGCTGGCCGGGAAACGAACCTGCATTGCAGAGGCAGTGAACAGCTTCACAGGGCGGTGCTCAACCCGCTGCGCCACCAGGGAAACCCCCAAATATTTTGTTTTAATTAGCCATTGGTGGGACCCGCCACGGGATCTTTGTGACACACTGAGTTGTTCTGATGCCATTAATCTATGTGAAGTTGACCTTGTTTCCCAGGGGCAGGCTTTCCTGACAGCAGATAGCTCAAAGCTGTTTTCTCTGGCTAGAGGCTAAGGATGGTTTTTGTTGCTGATTATCCTGGCAGCTAGCCAAGTGGAAGGTGAAGTTAAGTCATTTTATGAGATTGAGAAGCCCTTCAGCATAGGTGCCATGACTTTTTTAGTGGATAGTCTGATCTCTCCTCCGACTGGCTGTTTTGGTTCATTTTCTGTGTTGTTTTGGCTGGGCCAAGGTGCCCAGATCAGTCCAGGTCAAATATTATTCTGGATGTTTCTGTGAGGGTGTTTCTAGAATGAGATGAACATTTGAATCAGTTATGCAGGAAACAAAAAGTGGGGTTTTGAGTGAAGCAGACATCCCTCCATAATTTGGGTGGGCCTAATCGATTGAAGGGGTTAATACAAAGAATTAGGCCCTCAACCCTCCCCAGCAGGAAGGGATCCTGCCAGCACACTGCCTTTGGACTCCAGATACAACTCCGAGTTCCTTCAGTCTCTGGCCTCAGATTTCGGTCCTGGACCTTCACAATCAAATGAGCCAATTCCTTAAAATAGAGCTCTATAGTTATGCTATCGATATTGTTTCTCTGGAGGACCCAAACAAATACTGTGGATGACTGCAAAGACCCATTTATCTTATGAAGTATTGTAACTAACCTCACTTCTGCCCTTTGAAAATAATTTTTGAAACTTTATTTTACATGATTTCAAATTTTAGAGTTATAAGACTAATACAAAGTATTTCCTTCTTCACCCAGACTCCCCAAACATAAAACATCTTGACACGTTTGTTATGTCCTTTTCTCTTGATACATAAATATATTTTTTCTC